ATAGCTGATATGAATACATATATTATGTATGTGAGAGCAGAGGTGGTGCAGTGGAAACAAAGTACCCATGTGCAGTCCGAGGCCAAATCCGGGACCGGCTCCCGCTCAGGTCAACAAAGCTTCCTAACCCTACCGAGCAGGCAAAGTGGTATAAATTTAGTTCGGAAGAATAAAGACAGTCCTGCATTGACTGGTCCCGCAATCCGGTTCAAATTCCACATCGCATTCAAACGTCAGTGCGACTCTGAATGGAATAAAAAGCAAAAGCATGGCGTATTCCAAACAGGATTGGTTGGCGGGGGAAGTCCTTCCTTTATTTATGTGCAGTATTTGCAGTTATATAAGAAGTGTTCAGGGCAAAATGCATGATGTATTCTATAGGGTTGGGGAACCACTCCCAGACCTGCATCGCTAAAAAGAAAAGAGTGGGTCTAAAAAAAACAAGGTTATGGCGGATTCGATAGCTCATCGTGGTTAGTATGATGTTGACGAGAATTCTTCCCTTAAGTTAATATAACAATGCGAGGACAAACTAACAACTTATACTTCACCTGAGCAAAGATCTTGTCCCTTTCAGAGATATCGGTAAAATCCAAGGTGACCTTCGGAGTAAGACCATACGAGATCACTGATACACGAACGCGAGCATCGGATTTCAATGATCCTAAATAATATGGCGATTAAAAAACTAGTTCCAGTAGCTAAAGAATGCCGATAGGTATAGGTTTTTTTGGTTTTTTTAATAGGTTTTCCACCCCTTTTTAGCAGCTGTTTTTTAGCAGTTCACGATGCCAATGCTTTGTTGCTTTGGAGCAGTCTTATGGCATTCCTTTGAGAACATCTAAAATCATGATCATCTGGTCAGCAACCCCCAGCAGTGGCAGAAGGTTGTCTATGTGCTTCTAATCAAAGTAAAGCAACTTCCGAACTTTGCGGCGACGCGCGTGGACGCGCTGCGACGAGCCGTGCGCTACCATTGCAATGGTGCTCCAGTGCTACTGACGGAAACGCAGACAGGTTCCGATTGGCGCCAGCCGCTCATGTTCCGGTGATTATAGGGTAGTATCGAGTAAGCGTTACCCAATCGCACAGTCTGGTACCCTTCTGCTCTTCAACGATACTCTGATGCTCTTCTGCTCAATCTTAGCGGCCGGAGCCGATCGACAGCCGTCTGTTGCTAAATTCTCCTCTGCAGCATTGAACCGCCATTGCAATGTAGCGTGCCGTAGCGCGTCATCGCGAAGTTTCAATTCAGCCTAAGGGTTCAAGCAAACACGAAAGCAGTAAATCTATAGTGAAATAAAGATCCTCACCGAGCACATCAAGCAGAAGATATCGATTCGCATTAATCGACGAGTCGCGTTTAGGTATATTTTTTGCAGTGTTGTCGAAAACGACGACAAGTTCCAGTGGTGAGCTGGAGCAGTCGTCCGGCATTGGCAGGCGAGGTGGAATAATTCTCTGAATCACGCATTTATGTGCAACTGTAGTTGGGAACAAAATACAAAACCGAGACAGCAAAGGCGTCGGAGTCGCGGTACCTCTCTGGAGAATTCTGTTTCAGGACAGTCCTTCTCCCCTTTTAGCAAGGAGACCACATCGTTTAGGAACCTGAATTCCTAAGATTTTTGCGAAGAACGTTTCTGAGAAATTCTCATAAACTTTACAATAATGGAACACTTTTCTATTCTGAAGAGCCACGCGATTATTTGGGTATAATGAAAGACTATAGAGAGGTGAAAAAGTTCCTAAATCTTGCATGCAATTGGTGCGATAGCTGTGAACTTGATTGCGATTATGTCAATCATTTTGAGGAGCAAAGGCCGTAAGCACAGTACTGAACCTGAGGGAAGCAGTGGTCCCCTTCCTCGAGAGTCAACCATATCAGGGCCAGACAACCATAGCGCCTTACTACGTTAACACTGATGCTGAAAACGAATTGTCGCTCGTAATGATGGCCGCCAATCTATTATCTCTGCTACGGAAGTTTCAACGAAAAGGAAATTTCCCAGCACTGTGGCATGGTCATCATTGATAGTTCATCAGAAACACTTCATTACTCTTTTTAGGCTAGAGACGTTGCCGCCTGTGGTTCTTTTCTAGCAAAATAGAGGCACAAAATCAGTAGTTTAGAAACGGTTTCCATGGACAAGCCTATTTAATATGCTTCAGATCACAGTCTACTTCAACTGCCCTATAACTAACTTCCTCCGATTATCCCATCCCTATCAAATTCGAGTGCATCGGCGCGCGATTGTAGCTGTCTGCCAGTTCATCGTAAAAGTCCGCACCTGAAACCGAACTCGGACGTACTTTTAGTGCAGATTGCAAAATGGCTGTTAGACGGATCTGAGCGAGCTTCTCAGTCTATCCATCACCGCGACCAGCTCGCGGATCGTCAGAGAGCACGTAACCACACTGGCTCCTCTCATAGGCTTGCGTTTCATCTTGTGAAAGCGACATCGGTACGCGACATTCAACGAACACACAATGCAATAGCTGCTCATGCATCTCTCGTCCCTTGAACCATGGGTGAAGGAAAGCATATGCGCAATAAGGCAATCTACGCTTTGATGAATGTAGGCTTCCTGCGACTCTTATTCTCGATACTCAAAAAAGCCCTGATGATGGGCTAGCCGTGCGTGCGTACAAGTTGACATGGGGAGAAGGCAGCGGTCTGATATTGCATTTCGGAGTACAGCCTTGTTATTAGTCTCTTGCTGACAGACATACAGTCAGAGACAATTCTCTTCCAAGTCTGAATATTAATCCACGAATAAGCCATCCTTATATGTCACTGATTATGCCCACGGCCTACTCCTCATTAGCCATAAGCAGCTGCATCCGCATGACATGTATGCCACCTGTTCCTATGCAAAGCTCGTTCTTAATTTGGGAGCAAGGTAGGGTTAAGGCTGATTAGGTCAGACGTCTGCAGTAGCGTTTCAACAGTGCCCTAGTGTTTTCGCATGGAAATACCCCCACTTTTTACGAGCCGAGCTGCAGAATCCACAGCTTGTATGAAATTTATAACGTCACAATGAGAAATAACGTGATTAGGACGCTCTCGCCCTTTCTCAACAGTAGTGAGCCGTATGACCGATTCAGCAGAAAAATTAGAAAACACGTTACAGTGCATGCAAAACGCCGTGATTATCTCATTATTCTAATAACGCGTTCCTCGAAGTCCCCCAAGATCGACACGTTATCAACGCGTGAATGAATTTACCTACATGACAACAATTCAGAGGCAGCTCATGCCATTCACTAACATTTTACTCAAATGCTTACCCTCTTGCGCAAAAAATGACAGAAAACTCTGCTCTTCGAAAGTCTATCAGAACGTTAGCTGCGCAAAAAATCGTGCCCCTTAGGCGGCGGCGAGGTCGAACCCGTCACCCGCTTTCTGGCCGAAATGCCGCTTATCCGCTTACCGGCCACCAGCGCGGCACTTTTACCCTCTCACCTTAACGCTTTTATAAGCCGAGCGCCTATCAGCGCACTCACACGTGTTAACTTTGCGTTGGAGGCCTCCACCGCTAACTCGATGAGCATTATCAGCCATCTGACAAACGCGCAAAAAAGCCGAAGACTTTAGAGATGCTTTGAAGCTGCTCTTGGTTGAATTTTACGCCGCAGTTATCAAACAAAACAGCTAAAAAACTCTTAGCCCTCTTCTTTTCCACTTGTTTCCCGGATACAGACTGTAATCGCCAGTCCCCAGCCATCGTGCCTACTACTTTCAACGAGGAAGGCAATTCTGTTGGAGTCTAGTACCCTCCCCCCTCTTAAGCCCTGTCCGTAAGCAAAACGAATCGGCAAATGAAAATAAGCTAACCTCGCTTCCAAGTGCGACTCCAAATCGCTCCGCTTTCGTGGAAGCGAGCCGTTCGCTGGCCGACAGCACACGTTCCCATGTGTCTTGAGAGAAGCCATCGTTCATCAGGACGACCACCTGGTCAAATGAAGGCATTTAGTAGAATCTACTTTTCATTTTTACTTCAACTGCGGATCACACGAATCAAGCCTTCAGATGGGCAACCAACAAAGGTCAATAATGTTATCAGCGAACTGTAGCCAGCACTTGGTTGGTCTGACTTGAAGCTAGATGATTATTGCTAAAACCGAGTGCAGCCGGGAGAGAAAAGAAAATCCTCCAGGGATGAGAATACTCGTGGGTGCGTCGCATGACAGACTCAGTCCTAGTGTGCTGACTTTCTCGTGGCTGCCCCCTTTCTATCTAGCAGTAAGATTATAAAGGCTTGTTCGCCACGAATGCTGGGGCGTGTCAGGGAGGCTAGGTCTGAGGCGGCGAGCCCGTCCCCACCAATTGTAGAAGGGAATAATCGATAAAAAATTGTTTGTGGAAATTGGGATCGCGTCGCACCACATCCAGCCCCTCTGACACACCCCAGCATTCCCGGCGATCATGAGACTGCAAAGTAGGGTGTGCCAGTGAAGGAGGCACAATCCTAGCCTACGTCCGCACATACCTACGTCGAGCCTGGAATGTGTTATCAAATATCCCATAGCCATGAGGACGGAAAAATTTGAAATGGAACGATTCGAGCAAATACTAATTTGATCTTTTGGTAGAGTGGATTTATTACATGGAAGGATGGGGATAAATTAGGAAGGACTAAAATCACGTATTGCATGATTTTACCCATTATTGAACGTATACTTACTTTTTGGAATCAACTACGCTATGGGCTCTAGAAAAAAAGATGAAAACTGGTAGAAGTCGGGATTCCAAGTAAAAACGGCTCGAACCTGTATGGCCTCTGGTCGTCGGCCGCGGAGAAGATCGTCGATGCTGAGATCCACCGCTTGAGCTGTCAACGTGGAACCACCGCGATATTCAATCGATTCCAGTGCAGAACGAATTTCCTAAAGTTCATATTTTCTGACCCCGAAACTATCAATCACTTATTTATATCAAACCTAATCATGAGAGGGTTACAGGGCAGTGGAAGAAAAATCAACTTAGGGCGGGACATGAATCGCCCTCTGCTTTTCGGACACCAGACCTCTTACTGCACTACCGATATCTCATGCGCTACTTATCGCATTTGAAGTGTGGCCACAATTGGCAGTTATCAAGGGGGAAAATTAGGTTTTTTTTCATGCTATAATTCTTAACTCGAAGCTTCACCATCGATATTGCTCAACAAATCCGTAACATTATTTAGCCGATTACTTGTGTCGAATATGTAGTCATGATTCCTGCGAACGTAAGACGTGAGCCGCATTGCGGCTAGAACAGTACTTCCTGCTAGTTGTTGCTGACTCAGGACGGCATCATTGACAGCAAAAAACCGTTGGCAGCGCTCCAATCCACGCCTCGTCACCCGCTCTATCGTTTGTAGGTATCATTGTATCCTACTACTACCGCCATGCTTTTTGAGCAGTTGACAAGTCTAGAGGGCGCGGAGAACCGAAAAAGGTGTTATAGAAGGGGCGGAAAGGGAAGGAACAGAGGGTGTGAAAAAAACCGTTTTTTCGAGGGATAGACATTTTTAAACCTTCTCAGCAGGTTAAGTGCTCTCATTGCGGGATTCACTTGCTTTGGGGCAAAAGGTCCCGGCAATTTCGCTCGCCGCTCTTTGAAAACTTCCGGAAAATCCCAAAAATAAAAAAAAACAAAAACTACAACAAAGTAACAACTTTGCAAGATAAACATTAGTGGCGTTGTTGAAGAAAACGGGATAAGAAATCAGAGAAGAAAAATAAAAATAGTACGGAATACCGCTTTCGTTCTTCCCAATCCGAGAGGAAGTCGGACTGTTGGTACAGCGGTAAAGCTGATTACTCCTACGGCAACATTCATACCATCGGCAGTAATCGGTAGACGTTCAATGAGAGATAAAGCCAATTCACGCTGATGCTCGAATACCTGAAAATCCCTCCTCAGTTGAAGGGTTCCAAGGCCTTATCATACTGAACTAGAAAAACATCTTTGCTGATATTGAAATAGATTTGTAGTGGACAGTGGAATATCCTATTTTTTTTGGAAAGTTGCTGTTCACTTTAGGAAGCAATTAATTAAAACATCTGCAGGATGATCAAGACTTTCTTTCCCTTTCTGCATTGAGAAAGATTGTGCTCCAGCTTCAAAAAAACTGTGAAGCCCCCTCAGGGCGCGTCGTACATTGGGTATCCTCTGAAGGAAAAGGCAATTGTTGGCTGGAGTAAGATCGCATTTCGTTTAGAGGGATCGCTGCTGACTTCTCTCGGTTCTGCTTTTTTTACCCTCCTCCGCCTCAGACGGGATCTCTGGGGGAAGATTAGGAAGTCGTAAAAAAAAAGCCGGATAAGGTTAGAAAGTAGGGAGAAGCTGGAGTTATTTGGGTAGATGAAATGGGGATGCGGGAAGGAGTCGTACCAAGCACAAATTTGTTTCGGGAGGGTAGGGGTCTGTATCTTGAATTTTCACTCAACGAACCACACACCTGAGCCTGGCGTTCACTGGATTGAAGAAATACTGCTTTTTACCTGGGTAACGTCGGCAAGGATGAACTCTGAAGCGTCAGGTACGACCTCCGACGTACATAGGATCTGTCCCATGCCAACAAGTGCAAACCGCATGCTGGACCCCGGTCCAGATTGAGACAACCTTTACTCCGTAGAATGGTGGTCAAAAGGTGTCAGGGAGCTGGAAAGGAACTTTCGATAGAAAAGCTGGAGCTGTTTGGTCTCGTATTTGCCTACCAAAAGCAAGGCTCAATTTTGGAATTTGAAGTCAAATCTCCACTACCAACCTACAGGAGGCATACTTAGTGGTCGGTCTGAAAAAGCGACAGTAGTGACACGTGCCCTAGAAAACTTTCCCCATGGTCAAGAAGGGAGTAGGCGCACTCCCTAAGGAGCCTGTAAGTTTCTTCAGACAGTGGAACAAATGCTGACTTGTTCGCCTTATTTAGTTGTGCTCCCGTATAATATTTCGTGGGCACTTGACCGCCTAGTCAAAAAACGAACGCCATCGGATCTCCTTCTGATTGGTTTTGCGGTCATTTTGATCAACGATACGAATCCACATGCCGAGCCGACGTGCCAAGCCAGCGAGGCGTACGGCGCGATTGTCAGGTGGCTGATTGTTGCCGACAAAAGTGCATGCCCCTGACGCTTCCAGGGACTGGCGAGGTGTGTCGGGTGCATCGCTCAGATGAGCGCTATTGTGCCCGCACAACCACGAAAAAGTGCGTCGGCCAGCCCACACACAAAGAGGCGCTCGCCCGGGCCCCCATCAAGGAAGCGGCCTGAGGCGGGCGTCCACAAAAAAGAGCTGCCAGCTCCGACTGGTATGCCAAGAAGGGCCTCGCCTCCCTGCCAATTTTTGGAAAGGCCCTAACGGGCCGGAAAGATTTATATGTTGCAGGTCATAGCAATTTCCAAAATGAAAGCAGCAAACGCATACGAATCAGCCAGTTCGGCGTAGGCGACTGGATGCTTCGCTGCACTATATTTATCTCCCGAGCTGCGCCGAACTATTTCCTCCTATTGTTTTTTTTTTGTTCAAAAATTGCTCAATTATTTTCAAAGTCATAAAAGCAATATTTAGTAGCTCCGCGTGAAAATGTCGCAGTAAAAACCACTCACCTCACGTCGTGAAGACGACGCATCTAAAATAATTTGCAGATCCATTTGGTCGTAAGCACATCTTAAATCAATTGTTATTTTGGAACAATCATTTGGTTATTTTGGAACAAATGTGAAGGCCTTATTCAAAAATAAGCTCTGTGAGAATACCAAAAGGAAATTAACCTGCGCTTCCGGGCGTCGGGCCTGAATTTGACGAGGGTGTCCGCTTGAGGAATCGCTATATCACTCTCGATGCTAAAACTTCTCATTAGAGGTGTTCGTGTGGACCAATTTGTACAAATGGGTGCTTCTTTTGGAAAAAAATGTCAAACGTCCTTTCAGCGCCATGGAAATGGTTTTATAAGGTGACGTACGCTTTCCCAGTTTCGTCCGACTAACGAGCCGATTTCGGTATCAATATTACGCTATTGATGTCTTGTAGTTTATTAAGCCTCCTTCGTCAACAAGTATCAACATAATTTTAGATGGGTCGTTTTGCAATTTTTTTCTCAGATTTCTTCCGGGCCTATTTACGTTTGGAACGAAAATTGTATCATATGTGGGACACTTTTTGAAAACGAATCTTCGCTTAGACGAAATACCAATTCGCCCTAAAGGTGGAAAAAATTAATCCCAAGTCAGTGGAATTGGTCCAACGTTCACTTTCTTTGCTGATTGGATAATGAATAATGATGTCGTGATTCTTACAACCATCGTATTACTATCGGTGAACGTTGACCATTTCCTGCACGGACTTGCGATTCAGACTTTTCCCAATACTCGTTTGAGTCCAGGGAAAGGGATCGAAGAAACCGGTTAAACCGGTTCAAGATGGTCATGATAAGCGTGCTGCTGTTTTACATATCAGTTTATGGCTTAGAGCAGAAATTAGTCGCAAGGGAGCAGAGCACAGCATATAGGGCGGTGCTACCCAGCGAAGCACCTTGGATTTTGTGCCGAGTCATCTCTGCCAGAGCTGGTAAAGAATAGACAGACATCGCAGTTTTCGGGGTACTTCTGGAGGAGCATTGTCCACCTATCTTTTGCAGATGACTAGAACACTTCATGGTCTTCTTTGTGGTGCCGGCTTCCAGGATTTACACATAGAGGTGCATTCCCTAGCAAAATCTGAACCACTGGAGAACGTCCTTTTGTTTGAATTGTTGTTACATTTCTTTGGTGCCTATTCTCCTACACGCAATGACAGATGATTGCATGCACTGTTGACTTTTCCAGTCCTTCCCCTCTGTGAGGACTAAGAAGCATGATCCGGCAATGGTGACACCAGGGTCCTGTCCTAGTCAGGTAGTCTGTGTGAAACCCTCGCGAAAATATTCCATGGAAACCAAGGGAATAGAGACGATCAATGGTCACAATAGGGGGCATGACTATTGCCCTTAATCTTTGACAGAAAAACCGCTGCATGAATCACCGTTTTGTACTGATGTTAGCCAGAATGTCCCTAGTTCTGAAAGAATTGGGAGAGATTATGCCAACGAGACTTGTGAAATCGTGAGC